CTCTCTCTCTCCCGCTCACTCTCTCTACTTGAAGATCTTGACTCTGAATACATCCGCTACTACTCATCTCTATGTCCTACTACGAGCTATGCGGCTATGGCCGCCTTCCCTCTCATCACAGCGCTGCCCAGCAGGGCACTCGCAGATAGCGCACAAGCGCTTCAGCAGCACTTGCACACTGCTCACGCATGAGCAATCTGCCCGAAATGTGGCTGGCCAGTCCTTATATTGACTTGGACTGAGCCTGGTCTCATCCCAGCCTCTGCTTCCTTTGGCTTGACTTGGAACCGGCACCACATGCCCACGGCCTGTTCGGTTCAGAATGTCGAGGCCTGGTACCTCCATGAATCTTCCTTGTGTGCTGCTGCTTGGGCCTGTGAGTCACGACTTTTCATCTGTGGGATGCGACTCTCTACCCATGAGACACGACCTTTGCCTGTAGATTACGCCTTTTGACTTCGAGATGCGACTCTTGCCTGTGGGACACGACTTTTGCCTGGGGAAGTGTCCTTTGCCTGTGGGATCTGACCTTTCACCGTGCGACGCGACTTCTGCGTTCTGCGTTTCGAATGCAACCTTTGCCTCTGGGATGTGACTGTTGATCGGGTGCCTGTTGGACTTGACCTCTGGGGCACCCGACTCGGTCTTTCTGATACTGGCAGACTCGGCCTCCTTTAGCCTGGCAACGTGACCCTCGGATTCAAATTTGGGGTCTGCATCGTGGAATGACTTTTATATATCTATATGCGTATATTCAGGTATACTCCTAGTTCTGGTCCTGTTTCTTGGTCCCACCATCTGGTACCATACAGAGCCAAGGAGAACTGTGGACAATTGTTGTTAGTGTACAAGGAGCTACTGTTCTGTGCTGCTTCAACTTCGTTTGCCGGTGCCATGTCGAGCACGTGGAAAAGATATAAACTGCTCTTCTACCTCTATCTAGTCTGATATACTCTAAAATGATCAAGCAAGCATCTGACTCAAAGATCAAGAGTTCGAACCAAAGCGCAGTCTTCTCTTCTCACATGAAAGTGATATTCAGCTTTGTCAGCGCCGCGAGATGGAGGTCAGCCGAGCATGCAAATCCCTAATCCTATAGTCCTGTACAGGTCAACTCTCTTGGCGAACTTACGTCAAGAGAGTCGACTCTTCGGAAATTGAAGAGTCGATAACTTTTCTGAGAGACATTGCTTTTGAGGGAACAACGCAAGTTCCCTCTCATGACTTCTCGTGCTCCAATTCCACCAAAGGTTTCACCGAACAACAGGCAAGCCTCCTTGCTCGATCCGATCACTCTTCTTCAAATTTACAGAAACCATCTCTCAGGAAGGAACACTTTGCAGCATACTTGCAAGCGGATGCCGTCCGGGCGGTTCCGCACGTTCGGCAGACCACCGAACCGGACCCGCGCGGCGCACGAATGTGTGCCCGACGACCAGTTACGCCCCCCCCCCCCCCCCCCCAAAAAAAAAGGCCCTGTCTGGTCCGGTCCGGGTCCGTCTGGTCCGGGGGAAGGGTGCCGCACGCGGCAAAGCGGACCGGACCGGACGCTCGTCCGGTCCGTCTGCTTGCAAGTATGCTCTGCAGGTCTTGAACTTGTTGGGGGGGTGTTATCGTTTCCGCAAATTCCCGACCCAATCTCCTTCGGGGAAGCCGTTGCTTCATCGCAGAGCCGATCTCTTTTCTCAATAAATTTTCTTACAGGGGGATTGTCTCTGAGACTAGAAAGTCGCAATGCAACCGCAACACAAGTCCTCCCGTGGCTCCTTAGCAAACTTGTTGTTTCACTGATTGGATAGGAAAGCGTCTTTCACTGACACTGAATGCAAATCCTCTTCGAAGGTACTTCTTGGCAGAGTCGTTGTCGCTTAACTGGAGCGGTGGCCAAGCTTCTTGCTCAAGAAGACAAGCGGTTCCTTGTCCTGATGTCGCCGACAAAATCGTCCGCAAAGGTGCCCGTTTTCTGCAGAAATAACACAATCAAAGAGGGAGATTGTACAGAGTGAGGTGTTCTGGCACTCGTTTGCATGACCGAGCAGCGCTGTCATGTTGGTTGGCGCAATGGTCCTAAGTAGGCACCTGTTATTTTTTTGCAGGCAAGTCAGCAGTTGAAATTCCAAACCTTTCAAAGCATGCCTACTTTGACAAACCCCAAAAATCACAGCAGCAAACAAGGCCGTTGCCAATACCTTCATTTACGGCTTGCAATCCGGGTACTCAGAGAGAGCACCAAATTGCCGAAATGAGAGTAGGACTTAAAAAGTAGGAAATCAATATCAAGGGTCATTTGGGGAACGGAGGGACAAGCAGGCCATATATGTGAAAAATAACAGGGAGACGTTTCACTAACAGGGACACATGCAAATACACAAACATGCATGCACAACAGACACCCGTATTTGCCCTCACATGCCTCTGTGCACACACACAAACACACACACACACACACACACA